GTATAGTGTCTCGTGGTGACTGTACGAGAAACTGACTTATGGCCACAACTTCCGCTGGAATGGTGGATGTTATAGCACTTTCCTGGGAGAAGATCTCTTGTGAAATAGACCGTAAAAGTTTCTTCTTCAGGAGCACAAAGGGACAAAAAATCCAGAAGGTGGAGTGTCCTGCAGGGATGAGAGACTTATGTGTGATTCAAACTCACCAAAGTCTCGAGGGAACAGTTGTGGGTCAGGACAGAAGAAGAAAGTTTCAGACGGACCTTCCCAATTTTGCTGGTGGTAAGGTTAGTAAGGCAGAGATAAAATCTAATTTGAGATGGAACAGAATATGCACAGAACACCTCCTGATTTAATATTGATGGTAATAATAATAATGACGATGATAACAATGATGATAGTAATAATAATGATACCTTACTCCCCACTATCACACATTATCTCTCAATAAAAAATAAATAAATACAAAGACCAACAAGTTAATCAGCTATTTATGTGTAAAAGGATAATCTCTTCTCCCTAGTAAAACATTTCCTCGTAGCAAGAGAGCAAATGCCCTATGGTTTAAGAGCTTTGACGGGATTTACGAGGCAAAGAACCGACAAAACACCGCCAACACAGAATCTAGGAATGGAAGATTAGCGGGATTACACTCTGAAGAAAGATAATTGTTTCAGTCAAGGTTTAGGTAGTTTAGGAGTTTAGTTTATTTACATTGTGTATTCTGTGTGACACTTGCAGGAAGTTTCTGTAGGATATTGAACAGGGAACTGATAAATTTTTATATTCAAAGGCTGTTGTACTTGTTGGTATTACACAGTGGAGGTTGTTACACAGTGAGAGTATATTGTTATTTTCACAGTGATGGTAATACGTTAATGATACTCATGTGTTTGTGATGCTTGACCTCTGTGATTTGGTTTTGGGGTAACTATGAAAAAAAAACTAACTTCATTTTCCCGGGTTTTCGATAATATATTTCTTACTCATTCTACATAAAAAGCATTATTGGTTACATTTTATGATGAATGTTGGTTGTAGTAGTAAATGTGCGTTGGAAATCATGCGTACAACACTATGACAGGTAAATTAGGTGACTACTATATGAAATACACCTGTGATTAATAACGGTGCTGAGTAATTATCGGTATTGAAAAAGGTAAAATAAATCAACAACAGTAACTCGTTGCCTGATTATAAACTTGTTGGAAAATAAATTCGAATATTTCTAATGGACAGTAATTGATACATGTAATTGCATAAGAGACGGAAGCCATGGATGACTTCAGCTGCTCTGTTCTCAATCGTCTCACGTAATCGTCAATATATAGCTGTATATTATCCGTTGACTTTAATAAATATCTCGATTATTATAATTCAGTTCAGAAAAATTCTCGATGTTAGAGAAAAATTTGGATATCTAAAAAAATAAATAAATAAAAGTAAAAATAAATTTAAAAAATCGTGAATATTCTGCCTCTTATTTATGTCGACGTTTGGGGTCCTCAACACAGAAACAGCAACTGGCACCATAAACTAAATGGGTTCTTTTAATAGTGAATTTCTGTGGTGTATTTATCGGGTGGGAACTCCCTTGAGAGAGAGCCACTTAAGAAGTCTGATGATAATGGCACAGGTGTCACTGGTGGGCGGGTCGTGTGTCATGTATACAAACAAGTGTCAACACACACACACACACCCACACACACACACACACACACACACACACTATACACTATTGCGTACTTATTCACTAGTTTAGCTATCTTACTTTGTTACCTTCTTGTCAGCTTACAACCCTTTTGAACGGTCAGTCAGTTGTCTGTAATACACTGTACTTTACGGGCTCTTGAATGTACAGACCCGTTCACAAGTACGTTTACAGGGGCTCCTTAGGTTTTGTGCAGTGTGGCAGTGCTGTGATTGTTTACATTCGAGAGAAGGAAACTAGTACTAGTAAAAATACTTTGGAATCAAATTAAAACATTATTAAAACAAATATCTCAATGATAATCTTTTGTGGAATGTTTATATGACGAGTCCTATAAACACACTAGTGAAGGGGACTGTACCCGAACATGTAATAGTGTTGGTCAGGCCAGAAATCAATCACAACTGGTACTGTCAAAACAACATTTTCTGGTTGAATAGTCCCAGATTGTTTGGATTGTCGTCATGTAGTTGTTTGTTTTTCGTTTTCATCTCGTTAGTTAGTTAGTTCAAAAAGGAAAGTGTTTCTCTACTGTTGATATATTTTGATATTTATGTGTGAAGCTACAGAATATAGAAGCCTTGCATGGTAACTATATATATTACATTTTCTATGAAACTTAAGTCTGATTACATAGAAAACGGTATAATTTTAGGGCAATCTCTCTCTCTCTCTCTCCTATGTAACTATAGATATAAGGCGTTAGCTGAACATAGTAAGCAATGACACTGTAAAGGTAGATAATAATAAACACTCCTAATACTCCACATTTATTATAACAATCCATATGATAATATATTCACTCTATTTTGGTTTTTCTCCTCGTATAAATTAATAGCTTTACTAGCATGACGTTCACAATACTGCAACAGCCAGAAGGTTGCAAATATACAGTTACATAATTGGGGAATGGGTGTCTTGATTTACAAATGATATACAACTAACATAAGTAATACAAATATGATATATAATAACTAGGTGGGGAGAAGCTCAAACTACAGGGCATTTCAACATAGCGACAGTGCAAAAAGTAAGATTGACTGGGAATGAATACACTGGTTGATTACAAGTTATTGATAATTTTTACAATGTTTAGGACTGGGCTGTTCTTATAGCAATCATTTCGTGTTCGTATGGGCTGGATGCGGTTGTGGTGTCGAACAGCGATTCTCGGACGAGGGATCTCGGGTGGTAGTAGGAACCGGTGTCGAGGATGGTGCAGAAGCTTCTCACCAAATTTGCAGATGAGGTCGTGGTGATGGTCAGTGAGAGCCGAGAGGGTCAGTGTGTTGAGCACTTCTTGATAAGTGGAGTAGGAAGGGGAGAGAATAATCTTGCATGCCCTCTTTTGCACGTGTGTGTGTGTGTGTGTGTGTGGGTTTACAGCATCATTCCTCCCTGCATATCAATGTATACTTTTCCTTGCTCGTGTCTCCAGTACCCCAGATTAAGTTAATAACTCAGCCTTTGGTGGATAAATGTTTAGTCTGCTACTGTACTGTCATTTGGCATTTAAAATTAAAATAGCAAACAAACTTAAAGAGGCCTCAGCCCCCCCTCCCCCCTCCCCCCCGTGTGGCCATCCTAGGCAATATCTTGTGTTCTAGGGTTGCATGAATTGGCCCAGTTCCATTCGCACTTTCCATTGGTCGTACGGACATAACACTCGCGGCAGGGCAACACATCTAACAAGCTGACCCAAATTTTCATATCAATGCCGTCTTGGATCCATTGAGGCTGCGAGAAATAGAAAACAACAGGAAATAATTATCATGGGAAGAGATACAGTGTGACTTACTTTGCCTACAATAAAACAACTAATAATCATATCGGCATTAATCTAGCCAATCAATCAATCACAGCACCGTACTCATATCTGAGGGTGGGCGACCACAGTTCTCCACTCTAAACGTTCTCTGGCTGTTTTTACCAATCCTCTAAGGTTTTGTATCTTTTTCGGGACCCAGGTTTTAATTTCATTTATCCACCCCAACCTCTGCCTTTCTATGGCCCTCCTACCCTCAACTTTGCGCAATAATATTTGTTATTATTCCCCTCATCCCTAATTTAGAATTACTTTTACATTTTATTGTTGTTCTCTTAGCCACTGATCGGCTCGTTAATCGCTTGGGGTCGGTCACGACTCTGTTACGCACTGTTGGCAAGAACTGGGCATGCACTGGCTCCTGAATGTATCAAACCTGCTCCAGTGTTGGTCAAGTCTGGTCTTGAAATAGCTCACACTCGGTACCGTCACAACACTCTCTGGCAGGTTGTTCCAAGAGTTCACAACTCTCACTCCGAAAAAGTTTGCCCTCACAATTTTCTGGACTTGTGGCTTCTTCAACCCTGAGCTGTGACCCCTTGTGGGGCGGGCGTCCGCCAGCTCCAGGTATAGATCCTTGATTATTTTATGCAAGATATTTTTTTAGCAAGAAAGATACTTTATCTAAATTGATACTATATATTGTTTCCCTTCTTTGACGAGCAGTAAGTACTTAAAAATAAAATAACACTATATTTTACCACATGAAAGTAATCTATGTTTATACACCTCAATTGGGTCACCCCTTGCCCGTCTGTAGTTTAAGCTAGGCAGTTACAGACACTATAATCTCTGGATATTTAAAGTATTTCTCTTGAAGTTTTTGATAATCTTAGTTCTTCTTCATTTGCTTTCCTGTCAGTGTAGCTTATTCTTAGCATTCGCCGATAACGCCACATTCCAAAGGCCTCCAACCTCTTTCTGGTATGTATGTATGTAAGTATGTATGTATGTATGTATGTATGTATGTATGTATATATGTATGTATGTATGTATGTATGTATGTATGTATGTATGTATGTATGTATATGTATTTGTGTACGTGTGTGTATGTATGTATATGTATTTGTGTACGTGTGTGTATGTATGTATGTATACCTTTCCTTGCTCGTGTCTCCGCCGTCATCACACACCGTCTTCAATGGTCTCTGACAGTAGTGCTCTTGACGACTAACCTCCAGTACCCCAGATTAAGTTAATAACTCAGCCTTTGAGGGATAAATGTTTAGTCTAGTACTTTACTGCCATTTGTCCCTTAAAGTAAAACCGTAAACAAACTAAGAATACTTTCAAGTGGTGAAATATGGTGGTCATTTAAATGTACAAGTCCTGTATTGAAGAGTCAAAGAAGAAAAGAAACAATGTATAATATTAATTTAGATATCCTTCTTGCTAAAGAAAATAATCTCCCTTTAATACAATAAAATAATCAACGTAATGTGTGGGTTAAATAAAGTAAGGTTCTTCAATATTCCAGTTTTATTCTCTCTTGATCATAAGATACAAAAATTGCTGAGTCTTATAAGTCTTAATAGAGTGAGCCTCTACCCTTGCTTGAATGCTCTTAACGAAGCCTCAGCCCTTCCTGCGTGGCCATCCTAAACGTGCTGTACTACTGGTCTTTTAGGGTTGCATCGCTTGGACCAGTTCCGCACACACTTGCCATTGGTCAAACGGGTGTAACACTCGCGGCAGGGCATCTCGACAAATAGTCTGGCAATGGTGTATCTGTTGAAATCTTCGAACGGTTGACGCTGCGAGGGACGCAAAAGAACAGGAAATAATTATCATGGTAAGAGATACAGTGTGACTTACTTTGCCTACCATAAAGCAACTAATAATCATATCGGCATTAATCTAGCCAATCAATCAATCACAGCACCGTACTCATATCTGAGGGTGGGCGACCACAGTTCTCCACTCTAAACGTTCTCTGGCTGTTTTTACCAATCCTCTAAGGTTTTGTATCTTTTTCGGGACCCAACGTTTTAATTTCATTTATCCACCCCAACCTCTGCCTTTCCATGGCCATCCTACGCCTCAACTTTGCGCAATAATATTTGTTATTATTCCCCTCATCCCTAATTTAGAATTACTTTTACATTTTATTGTTGTTCTCTTAGCCACTGATCGGCTCGTTAATCGCTTGGGGTCGGTCACGACTCTGTTACGCACTGTTGGCAAGAACTGGGCATGCACTGGCTCCTGAATGTATCTAAACCTGCTCCAGTGTTGGTCAAGTCTGGTCTTGAAATAGCTCACACTCGGTACCGTCACAACACTCTCTGGCAGATTGTTCCAAGAGTTCACAACTCTCACTCCGAAAAGTTTGCCCTCACAGTTTTCTGGACTTGTGGCTTCTTCAACCCTGAGCTGTGACCCCTTGTGGGGCGGGCGTCCGCCAGCTCCAGGTATAGATCCTTGATTATTTTATGCAAGATATTTTCTTAGCAAGAAAGATACTTTATCTAAATTGATACTATGCATTGTATCCCTTCTTCTTTGACGAGCAGTAAGTACTTAAAAATAAAATAACACTATATTTTACCACATGAAAGTAATCTATGTCTATACACCTCAATTGGGTCACCCCTTGCCCGTCTGTAGTTTAAGCTAGGCAGTTACAGGCGCTATAATCTCTGGATATTTCAAGTATTTCTTGGAGTTTTTGATGATCTTAGTTCTTCATTTGCTTTCCTGTCAGTGTAGCTTATTCTTAGCATTCGCCGATAACGCCACATTCCAAAGGCCTCCAACCTCTTTCTGGTATGTATGTATGTATGTATGTATATATGTATGTATGTATGTATGTATGTATGTATGTATGTATGTATGTATATGTGTGTGTACGTGTGTATGTATGTATGTATGTACTGTATATATGTATGTTTGTATGTATGTACTGTATGTATGTATGTATGTATGTATGTATGTATGTATGTATGTATGTATGTATGTATGTGTGTGTGTGTGTGTGTACGTGTGTGTATGTATGTATGTATGTACTGTATGTACTGTATGTATGTGCTGTATGTATGTATGTATGTATGTATGTATGTAATATGTATGTATGTATACCTTTCCTTGCTCGTGTCTCCGCCGTCATCACACACCGTCTTCAATGGTCTCTGACAGTAGTGCTCTTGACGACTACCCTCCAGTACCCCAGATTAAGTTAATAACTCAACCTTTGAGGGATAAATGTTTAGTCTAGTACTTTACTGCCATTTGTCCCTTTAAGTAAAACCGTAAACAAACTAAGAATACTTTTAAGTGGTGAAATATGGTGGTCATTTTAATGTATAAGTCCTGTATTGAAGAGTCAAAGAAGAAAGAAACAATTTATAATATTAATTTAGATATCATTCTTGCTAAAAAAAATAATCTCCCTTTAATACATTAAATAATCAACGTAATGTGTGGGTTAAATAAAGTAAGGTTCTTCAATATTCCAGTTTTATTCTCTCTTGATCATAAGATACAAAAATTGTTGAGTCCTATAAGGCTTAATAGAGTGAGCCTCTACCCTTGCTTGAATGCTCTTAACGAAGCCTCAGCACTTCCTGTACTACTGGTGTTTTAGGGTTGCATCGCTTGGCCAAGTTCCGCACACACTTGCCATTGGTCAAAAGGATGTAACACTCGCGGCAGGGCATCTCGACTAATAGTCCGCTAATGCTTGGGACAATTGCGAACGGTTGAGGCTGCGAGGGATGCAAACCAACAGGAAATAATTATCATGGTAAGAGATACAGTTCGACTTACGGTACCTACCTCAACACAACTAATAATCACATCAGCATTAATTTAGTAGCTACCACTTTGTTAATACTATGAAAGGAATCAAAAACAAAAGTATATTGTCAAATGTAAAGTAAAAATAGTGAAATTACTCAAAAAGAACACCATTTTTTTTTCTTTGTATAAGGATGTGTAATGAGAATGTTTGGTTCATGTTGTGTGTGTGGGTGATGGGTGGGACCCGGTGTTGAGTTAGCTAGCCAGGCAGGGAGACAGAGAGGCACAGTGTACCAGGAGTGCGACATTTACAACTAACTGACGTACGTAGCATCTGGTTTTTCCGTACGTGAATATTAAATCGATTCTTTCCTTTTGGGTTATTTTTCTCTGGAATATTTTCGTTGATTTGTTTTGATTCACTTACCTGAAGAAGACGAAAACAAAACAAAATGGCATCATCAATTGTTCCTACGATGCTCGACCTATGAGATACCCTATACCTACACAAACTTACTGATTCTGATATAAATTAAACCTTTAATTCTGTTGGTAAGGAACATCAAGTGTATATATCGCTAAGCTCCGTATTGTGACGTAAATAAAAGAAAATGTTAGGGAATTACCGCCTCTATTGCTAAGGAGGAAATAGCACGATATGAGAAAAACAATAGCTGAAATTTACATTGTTATTTTCTTTTCACTCAGTAGGATGGGTGGTAAGGGATGTTTCCTGCCCCGTGTGTGCAGCCGATGTTTATGGTAATAAGGTCATGTTTACATCAGACTTTCAAATACAAATCCATATTGATAAGAGTTTAATACATCACCTGAAGATTAGACACCTTAGTTTATTTCATCTAAAGCTACCTGGAGGGGTGGCAGAGGATAGTGAGGGTTAGGTTAGGTTAAGGCAGGAGGATAATATTAATTACCCTATTCCTTATATTACACAGTAGGAACATAAGACAATAGGGAGGAGTAAGTTAAGGTAGCATTTTATTCTTCCTAGTGATGAAAAATAAGCAGTAATTTAACTATGTGTGTGACATGTTCTGTGTGAGCAATAATTCTTGAATATTGCATTATAACACACACACACACACATTTGTATCACTTATGTTACTTGTATATTATTTATCAATCAAGTGACCCATTCCCCAATTATGGAACTGTATATTTTCAGCCTTCCGGATGCCATGCTCTTTAAATAAACCGTTAATTATTATTATTATTATTATACATACATACAAACATACACTTACATACATACATACATACATACATACATACATACTGTACATACATACATACATACTGTACATACATACATACATACTGTACATACATACATACATACTGTACATACATACATACATACATACATACATACATCAACCTAGAGAAGTCGACTTGTGAAAGAGACCTAGGGGTACTTGTAAGCCCGGACCTACGGCCTAGAAAAAGTGCGTTAATGTTCGAAATAAGGCAAACAGAGTATTAAGTCTTATATCTAGAAGTGTAAGTAATAAGAGTGCAGAGGTCTTATTGCAACTATATCTTGCGCTAGTCAGGCCGCACCTCGATTATGCGGTTCAGTTCTGGTGCCCCTATTATAGAATGGATATAAATTCACTAGAGTCGGTGCAGCGAAGAATGACAAAAATGATTCCGGGACTTAGAAACCGTCCATATCAGGATAGGTTAAAGAAACTTAACTTGCATTCCCTAGAAAGACGAAGAGTGCAGGGAGATATGATAGAAGTATTTAAGTGGGTGAAAGGAATCAATAAAGGGGATATAGATAAAGTTCTTATAATATCCGAGCAGGATAGGACTCGGAACAACGGATTCAAGTTAGATAAGTTTAGGTTTAGGAGGGAGATAGGAAGAAACTGGTTCACAAATAGGGTGGTGGACGAGTGGAACAAGCTTAGCTACTTTGTAGTAAGTGCGGGAACTCTGGAAAGTTTCAAAAGGAGGCTAGATAGATTCATGGATGATAGAGAGTGGTAGTAACTCGACAGGAACTGCCAAGCACAGGCCAACCGGCCTATTGCAGACTCCTTATTTTCTTATGTTCTTATGTTCTTATACATACATCCTTGACCACTGAAGGGCCAAGACGGCGGCCAGGTCAGCTGTTATGTTGACACACACCCCAACTCCCCGCCAGAATATCACCAAGTTCTCGCCAGACGTTACTATTTCATTTCGTTAAGGAATAGAACCAGTGTTGAACAGTGGTGAACAGTGCTTAAGCCAGTGAAAGCAACACAACAGTAACAGCTGAGAGTCGTACCCAAGTTAAACTTCACAGAGTGATGTCCCAGGTACCCAGTGATAACTGCCCGTGACACCCAACAACAAGCAGCGATGTGTTTATCCGTCCATGATAGGGAGGCCTGGGACTGCACCTGACTGTACACCACTTGAGTGAGTGAGGTCCTGTGACACCAGACCACGAGGTGTCCCCATGGCAGTACGATGCCACGTAGTGAATGAGTTGCTACAGCATCATGTCAGGTCCCTCATAACACCATATGTGAGGGAACTGTTACACCAAGCCAGGTCCCCCACAATACCTTCTTTGAAGGAATTACTACACCACGTAGGCCCCTCTTAATACCATCTGTGAGTGAAATATTACACCACGTGAGTTCCCCCATAACACCATCTGTGAAGGAATTACTACACCATGTTAGGTCCCTCATCGCACCATCTGTGAGGGAATTACTATACCACGTGAGGTCCCTCATAACACCATCTGTGAGGGACTTACTACACTACGTGTTTGCTGTTCAACACCTCAGCGCACATGATCTACGTGACCTCCACTGTAAACAATAATCTGTATGTTCACTGTATGTTCCTTTTCCTTTCTCTTATGAAAGCTTTTGTTAACCCCCCCGCCCCCCATGTCTTTGTATGTAATAAGTCATTTATGTTCACTATATATTTTCAGTCTTCGGGCTGCCGAACTTTTTCAATAACCCTTTAATTATCATTATTATTATTATTATATATTATTACATACACAGTTTCACATACTGCCACATATACGTATACACACTTAAATAAGCACGAACATATATAAGTAAACACAGACACGTACAGTACATTCCATAAACAGTATCATATCTTGAAAAATAACTCAGTAGCCAACTCACCTTGGCTGCCACAGTGAGGGCGAGGCACACCACAACCACAAACACTAAACTCTTCTTCATCATGGTCGAGTTGTGGGGAGATGTTAGCCACGTATATACAGTTACTAGGAGAGACGGTGTTACCGAGACTGTGGCCTGACACTTGTGCTTCACGCCACGGTCTGATGGTATTATACATCACTATATCCGCTGGTTGTGCCTAAAACGTATTCTCAGGTGTTTAAGTTATCAGTTACGATTTTATTTCCTGTAAAGATTTTGTCTTTATGTAGATAATTTCTCGCCAGCGCCAAGAACAATTTATTTTAGTTTATTCTCAATTAATATTTTTAATTTGATAGAAATACAATTGACGGGATAAATAACAAACAATATAATCGTGAAAGCAGTCGGCAGTTCTGTCCTTTCCCATACTAACCGGATTTGTTGACCTTCAAACGTTCATCATTTACACTGACCACCCCCCTCCCCCTTCCCCTACTTACATTTCCTTTCCTAGAGTGAATATGTTTCAGCTTTGTTACTATTTTGTGTTGTTCTTGATGTATTTCCTTTCTGTATTGAAGTTATGTTGTTAATGAAACTCGTCTGTCATTAGAAAGGAATTTAGAGGAGGGAGAGATGAACCTAACTTGTAGATTTACGTATTTTGTGGTACTGTAGTGAAATGTTTACAGAGTCTAGTGCTGTTTGGGTTTACCGAGTCCATTGTTGTTTGTGTTTTCCCAGTTCTTTGTTGTTTGTATTTACAGTCGCCTTTCATGTTTGTGTTCACAGAGTTCCCTTCGCTGTTACACCATCTTTACTCAGTCCTTTGTGTCATACTCCACCATCCACCCTTCCTTAAAGATCTGATTCTGGTAATAATACACTAGAAGAATGCATACGTCACTCAAGCTGTGATGAACTGTTTATTATTTTTTATAACGTTATTAAGTATGTAAAGGTTAAATTAGTATTGGAGTGTCTAATCTAGTGAAATAAGCTGGGGGGGGCGTGGGGGGGTAATCTTCACACGATCAGAGAAGCTGTAGTGAGTCACATCTTCCTAGCAAAGGTTAACTCTCCGAGGAACATGAGAGCTGATAATAAGTAGCTGAAGAGAAGGACGTAGAAGATACTCTGGGTGTGGTCGAGGCTGAGGGGTACTAAGCCACCCTGACCCATGTCACTGGTAATGATCGCTTCCATCGTGTCAGACTCACTGGCTCCATCTCCCTTCAACTCCTTCTTGTTCTGTGAGAATAGACGATGATGTGAGAAATACACACACACACACACACACACCGTAAGTATATGATCTAAAGAGTCATCAGCTTCTGGTCCCATCGTGGGCTTTCATCTGCGTAAATCTGTAAGTACTGTACTGTTGAATAAACGTAAGTCTTCAAACTACAACGAAAAATCGGTCATAATCGTAAATGGTCCTGTCTCGCTGCTCTGCTACAGGGTCAACTTAAATGAACTGCAATATTATATTCACCTTTTTCTTAAGACTGTAAGACTCTTGTTTCCAGAGTCTCACCAAACCACTCTCGAATATCCATCTTATAACTCGGTCTAAGCTGGATTTGAGAGGCGAGTTAGTTGGGAGGCCGACGGCGACGTTGAAGAAGGCGTAACACTCCTGCAGGTAGTGGTGGTGGTTAGTTTATTATTGCAAAGGTAGAATTAAAAAGTAAGTTAATAAAAACGTTGATATTTTTATATAGATTTTTTCAATTTCTCAACAAGTGGAATAGCGGTATATATCCATTCTACACATCCACATATCATCCACACACTAATTAAACGCTATGAGACCATTTACCTGACCGACGCACCTCACACACACACACACACACACACACACACACACACACACACACACACACACGCACACACAGTCACTCAAATATGTCATTAAAAACAGTTGGCAAAGAGATACACATTGACACTTCGACTTGCCTAAGAATGTTTTTATCATAACTAACTTTACATGTGCCAGCTCATAGACCAGAGTGCTTGGTGGCGGAAATACTAAAACAAGCCATTCAAATCAATCGTGTAAAAGGTCCGGCTCAGAGACACCTTGTTGTTTAATTTCACTCACCGGGAACTAACATGACTCACTAAATATATAACGAAACAGGAACAGGAAGTTCTTAGCATAGGAAGTGACTCTATCAAGGACTATCAAGTATGATATCAAGATGCTGTGTGCCTGCATTGTCTCTTCTGTAAAGTCAAAAAAAATTCAGGGAAGACTTGTCATTATGTTACTTACCTTGACCATACGTACACCTACGGCTCTGCTGGAAGAAGCTAGGAGAGTATTGGTGAGGAATTCCATGGCGCTGCGGTTCTGGATGAACACGCCTCGCCCCTTAATAATTTCACGGATAATGTCGGTCATGTCTCTGACCACAACATGTCTCTCTGCCAGACCCTGCGAAAATGAAGAGAGATTTTAGCGCTTCATTATAATCATGGTTGGTCGTAAGTACATTCCAAATACACGTTATTACTGTGTCCTGGCAATGGGAACTAAATGTTACTGTGTTGAGTTGCATGTTACATTTTTTTTTACATGAAAAATAAAATCCTTTGTTAAAAGAGAAAGGAGGAAATAATAAATAATACATATATACATCTCACTTCTCAATATTCACAACAGGAAGATTCAGACTCACCCTGAGATAAGGATTGGGTGACTGCAACAAACTGTCCTTTAGAAAGGTTGAGGCTTCAAATAGGAGGAGTGGAGATTCATAAAGCTGTTTCAGTGTCTGTATTCCCGCGGGTCGCCTCGTGACGGTGAGGAAGGCCGTCAGGTTAGAGGAGTAAGCGATGCGGAGGATGATGGCGTAGATCAGCAGGAAGCCAAGTAGGAGTCGAAGGCTGTGGCGGCGAGGCAGGCGAGGCTGGCTCTCCTGGAAATGAATTCTCAAGGCGTCCGAATAGGCGACCGTCAGGGATACCATCGACTCATTACCCGCCGCCTCCGTGCTGCCGGGGAAAGAGAATGTGTTCTGATTGGCTCTTTTTGTGCTCTAACCTCGATACTGCAGAGTCACAAGGATCCTCAGGAAGACGATGACAAAACTAAAAACAAAAACTTAAATCTTTTAGACGTTAGAACGCTGACAAAGGCAAATAGATATCATCAATATCTATATAACTTTCGCAATTTTATATCCATCTGGAACTACGGAGACGGGTCCCTCATAAAACTTACCACCTGAAAATTCAGTGTGTAAATGGTTAGGATTCAATATTATTACAGTATTATTTTTGTATCACTTAATATTGGATTCTGCAACATCAAATTGCCTGATTTCTACAATTTGTTGTAATCATTGTTATCTTGTGAAGAGAAAACTGATCAAGATCACTTAACGAATTTCATACAACTCCCCACTGACACTGTAGCCACACACACAATGATCATGTCTGTTTTGGCTCAGGACTGTCGCTACCTCCGTACTCTACACCCGCATGCCCAAGACTCCCTTACGGAAAACAACAGTCTCAAAGTGTCAGGAAATTGTTTTTTTGGTGTTATCGTCCAAGACAGACTCACCTGGCCACAGCTGCCCTGGCCAGGAGGCAGAGGACGGGGCCACTGAGGATAAGACCCACCAAGAGGGCGAGCCACGTCTCCAGGGTGTAGGGCAGACTAGGTGACTGCCATTGTGGCAGTGGCGGCTCAGTCCTGATCATCAGACAACTTTGCTGGTGGTGAGACACAGGTGGTTGAACAGTATTTCATAAAAAAATATAACATTAGTGAACATAAGGAGGGAAGAGAACAAAACTAAAGACTATACATGATAAATAAGTTAAAACGAACTTCCATGAGTGTGTGTGTGTGTGTGTATTATGGCGCCACGTGAAGTCGGGAATAAATGATAGACACTTGTGCTTACGTCAGTGTCAAAGGCGGTGCTGTAGGCCTGGAACTGGTCTCGGCCCAGCAGGGTATTGATGAACAAGTTTGCGATGGCCATGTCTGCCTCGCCTCTACCCAGCAGCCCGACTATGCCACCCCAAGATCCGTTCTCTTGACGCATCCCCCAGCGCTCACCTGCACAGTGCCCTGACTCAGTTACCGGTCTCAAAAAACAGTTCTCATGGAAGGTTTTTTTCAGGGTAACTACATATGAGTAAGCACATTGTCATAATCCTAGCTAAGGAGATACATTAATCTACAAGTTTTGAAAACCTGGACACTGATCTGGTTCTTCAAAGGCAAGTGAGACGTTTAAGTTTGTTGCGTGTGAAAAGTAAATTAGTCCACAGATTTAGGTTATAAACAATAGCTTCTTCACTAAGTTGCTAGTACAATATAGCATTATATCTCTACACATTACTTCAGACTCAGGTCTCTCATGCCAGTAAGCACTTACTGGCTCTTGAGAGTGTGAACCACATAGTGAAGTTGTTAATGACATTTGGTGATTCTTTACACTATAGTATGAAGACGTACAGTACTTACCGTTCGGTGGCTCTATGAACTGTATAGTGAAGTTGAAGATGGGAGCCAGGGCACGCACCACCTCCACGTCCCGCCCATACAGGTGATGCACCGAGCCGTTCCTCTGCCGATAGTATAAGGTACTCGGCTCCCACTCGAACGTCACCACCTGCAGGAGAACGAGTGTGTTGCCAGTTATGGGAACGCCTCAGCTTTTACAGCATTCCGTTAAATATAATTATTAGCCAAATGCACTAAAACGACACGGGGAGGGGGGGGGGGTTGTTACTGCTTGAGGATAAACGTCGACGGTGATACAGGAGAGGTTAACGTTACTTCCTGTAGGAAAATTCATTATGAACATTTCCAGTAGACGGTAGACTTAACCCCTGGTACCACTAACCTTAAGCACAGCGCCACGGAGGTCAGAGGTCTTGTCCGGGAAGGGTGAACGGCGAGTGGTGAAGTTGTCTCTCTTCCAGGAGGTGACCAAGCCCATACCTGTCCCCCAGTACAGCTGATTCATGTATACCAGCCACTCCCCTTCCCTACCAGACTGACCACACACACACAGAGGAAAAGTTATTATGAGAGTTGTAACATAACTTATATATTGTTTTATTATTATTATTATTATTATTATTATTATTATTATTATTGTTATTGTTATTAATACCGTTGTTGGTGCTGTTATCTTGGTCCTCTCACTGAACTATTTACCACGTACTTTCATACAGGGAAGTGCCTAGTACTTCCTCGTTACTGGCAGTGAAGTACTTACCTGGATGACTCCCACGATGTGTTCAGTCTTCCTGCCCTTCGCGGTACGGGTGAGGTCCTCCAGCTGCTCAAGGGTCGCCCCCACCACAACATACCTGGCAGGGAGGGCGGGAAGCTAGTACGAGGAACATGTCGCTAGAGGAATGATAAAAAAGAGCTTGCTAGTGAGAAGCGTGATGGAACACGTGGAATAAAGTCAGGTATGGAGGGAACACAAAGTAAAAGAGTGGGTAGGTGGAGGATAAGGTCGTGGAGGAGTAGAAACAAGTGCTTTACGGTATTATCTCTACTAGACATCCTGTTCTGTTGTAGAAAACTGCGTCCCAGAGTTTGATGGATTCACAGTTCCATATTTCTTCATTAATAGAGTTCATATTCCTAGTTAAGTTCTAAACCTGCCATCAAATATACCTGTAATATCCATCATAGTATTGATTGATTCTCTTGTGTATAAAGATTAATGCTGGGAAACGGGACGTAGTACCCACCTGCCTTGGTAGTCCCAGAGGGAGAGTGAGGTGACTGCAAATGATAGGAGAGGCACTGGATCATGTAGGAGGAAGACGTAGCCACGACACCCGGGAACTTCCCACACGACACCACGCAAGTCCTCCTCCTTCCTCAAGTGTACGACCTGCAGTGATTTACTTGCATATATATATATATATATATATATATATATATATATATATATATATATATATATATATATATATATATATATATATATATATATATATATATATATATATATATATCTCGTTTGACAAGATTTGGGGAATAAACTGTACAGTATATGTTTTAATTTATTACTGTTATCGAACTGAGGTTAAATTAACTATACACTGACCTGTTTGGCGTGAGGTAGATGGACAAGATCATACACGGCAGAAGAGTTAATGTAACCCCCGTCAGCGACTATCACCAGAGAACAGTTTACAAACTCTGTGTTAACGAAGGTCATCAACATAGTTGCCAGGGTCTCCTCCTTCTCAAGGGGCGTCAAGTACTGACCAACAGTCACCAGGTTTGTCTCTCGCTCTCTGGCGCCAACAGTGAGCAAGAGCGAGGCTGGAAACTTCCTGGTAGATAATGCGCTTTGCATAGTTCTTGTAGGTGAGGTAGTGTTGATCAGATGATTAGGAGGACTGATATGGAAATGAGTCACTTTGAAGCTGACGTCATCTATTGCCGAGGTAACATCAGAGTGGTCAGTTGGCAGGACAACAGGACCGGCAGTGGTAGAGGGCTGGGGGCGTGAGGCTGCCAGGACCACCACCACCAGCCCACCACACCCGTCTAGTCTCCACATTGCTGGCGGCTCCTCACCCACACCACGTAAAACTGGATGAACTGTAGTAATGAAACTTTTGAATTAAAAAAGAGAGAGATTGCTGGATTTGCTTACAAATAGTGATGCAACATTCTCTCCCTCATACTCACAAGGAAGTGTCTCTCTGATGACCTGTGAGTTGGGGTATTCATAAAAAAATGCAAAATATAATAAGAAAAAATATCAACCTTCAATAACACAGATTATAATAAATATTACAATAAAAACAAAATAACCAGCAACTGAATGTTTCTGGCACTGATAAAACCATCACATCTGGTAATATATAACCTGCTACAGTCTACCTCTAATGCCCCTTGCTAAGATACATTTTGTGTACAATTGTAGTTTTGTTCTTAGAGTTGATGACAATAAACACACACTGTACTACCGAGAAACAGTAACTAAATCCTAATTATGTTTTTTTCTTTACCCTTATGGTGTGTTATGTGACTATAATTATCTCCCACACCCCGCTACTCACGCTCAGGTGCCGTGTTAGGTGCTCAAGCTCCCCGGGTTGGTTATTGATTCGTGTCTTTTGTCATTTTTTGAACATCTTGGAAGTAGCATGAAAAACTCGGCGCGGATTTCGGCTGCTGGGTGATTGTGACCGTGTGCACCAGGAACGGCTTTATAAATGTTTTTTTTTTAACGCCATAAATCGCCTCTCACTTATTCATATCAAGATTCTGAATTACTGAAATATAATTCTAAAAATGCTATAAATGCGTCATTTTGTGGGACTATGGCAATCCAAACAACATTAATATTAAACTTTATATTAAAAATATATATTCAAATTAAGGATAAGAGGCAAACTTTGTCAAATATACATGGTAATATTTCCCCTCTGTTGCCGTGTGAGGTGAGACTTAGATAGATTACCTGCATATTACAATTACGGAAAGATGAAATTACTCGAGTGGGATTTTCTGTTAGACGAGAGATACAATACTAAGTATTTTCATCTCTTAATGATACAGTTGCAATAGAAATATTTCACACCTTTGTAATGCACATAAGACTAGTTGACCATATCACATGTTCCTCGGAATTATGTCATCTTTGTTGGTTTTAAAGAAAAAATATCTAGCAGTTCATACTTTAGTGAAGGTAGGTGGTGCACTTATTAGTAAACTGGAAATACTGCCGTTGCTTTCTCCTTACAAGTACAATTTTCGTCATAAGTTAGAGTTCAATAAAGAACATTGTAAATCACCCGACTGTAAATTTCATAAATACAATAATGACTCAGTGGTTAATACATATTCTTATTTTATGATTCTGTATAAGTTTATGTTGTGTATGAACACTTACCTGAGGCGAAGCTTAAGTGATAATCTCATGTCCTGCAGAGGTATATATAACACCTGTGGGTGGAGCTTATTGGTGGGCGTGGACGAAAGAACTCGATCCTTCAAGATGATTGGCTGTTGCACAAGTCTACCTGGACAAAGACTATAATCATTGGTGAATATTATTTACAGGTAGATGACATCCAGCACTCGATAACCACAGCCCGCCAGAGAGGAGACAGGTAAATCTTGGTGTCCATATACCTGTCTCCCGTAGGTTAAAACTCTCCTTCTGAATCATCTTGTCACTCTGTATATCTTAATGACTATCCCAGCGCTGGCCACGTCATTTACATATAACTAAATGCTCTTGTTTTTACGTACTGACATAAATAATATAATACGTTGGCTACATAAAAAGAGAAAGGAAGTTAAATTGTGTTTGTCTGTTGTAATGCTAGACGACTATACAGTAGAGACATTATACACGTTCTGTTTATCATTAAAACTGTGTAGCGTCGTGTAAGAGCTCTGAGGGCAGATGTGTGTAAGCCAGGGCGCGACATACCTTCGTGACCACTGTAGACGTAGAATTCAACCTAGTCAACTCACGACGTAAACCAAATACTAATACCTTGAGAAATATTGCTGACTTATAACAAGCAATTTCAGTTTTTCCTATCTGTAGAAAGTAAGAGCTGCTATAGTCCTACGACGTAATATATTTATGAGGACTACAGATGATATATAGAACTGTATACATATCTAGGTTGAAGTTGTAGATGGAAAAATAAGAAAGGTTGTACCGTGACGTAAGACCAAGTACCCGACAAACTGTTATACGCTTATTGACGACAGGTTGAGTTATGGGCATAAATAACTAATGTAAATGACGTATCACCACAACTCGCCTTAGAAGGACACTTAACAACGAGACTGAGACACACAAAGTCGATATTAATGTTGGAGACGACGAAGCAAATCATTTTCCTTTAGCTTAGCGGCGTGGATTTTTTTTTTTTTACACAATATATAACTCCTTGGTGCATACACACACACACACACCTACACACACACACACACACACACACACACCTACACACACACACCTCCGTTTCTACGACCCTAAGCTGCTAGTCACACCAATACTATTACCTATATTTAATTCTTGTTTCTAATATCAAGGATGACATTAAATTTACCATTGTAATGAAAGCAAAGATGCATATGAGAATAATCCACATTGACAAGCGACTGATATATGGTGGTGGAAGAATACAGGCTAGTAAGCTGGAGTTTCATTCTGTAACAATTCAGCGCGAAGCTTACTGTAACCAAAGCTTCATACCCAAATACTACAAAATATGGCTCCAGCTCCAGCCTGTGTTATATTTTGTTTTGTTTTTTCATGACCATTAACCTCTCATGGATGCCTATACCGTGTTGATATCTTCACAACATCAGCAACGGGTACAAGGATCTATCTGGGTCATAACATAGCCTGTTTTCGAGTATTTTCATCTACGTGATTTACAGAATACTGACTTGTTGCCAGCTTTAGACTGTTCCCTCCCAAAAGAACCTCATAAGCTAGTGATCCTCTTGGTGATGTTTCTCAGTACACAACACAGAGGAAGTCTTGCCTGGCGGAGGGAAAGTACTGTACTTACAAAACAAAATTTATGTTTCCCCGAAGAAATCAACGTATATATTTTCACCTGTTGTATAGAAATGAGAGACTGCATTTCAGAGTTAATTTGATCAGTGACGTCATAGTAAACAAAACGAGAACGGAAAGTTGGTTATATGGAAAGGAAGATGAAAATAAGTACAAAGTTATGGTAATATTTATAGTTTGGCGTTTGTGAAGGCGAGTAGATCTAATTAACCGGGTCACCTGACGATTTTATACCCTAGCTTAAAGTCTTTCTATAATAGCCTCTCTTCATTACTATCGTCTCCAAACAGATGTCATGTAAACGTATCCATTTTTTTTTTATATTCAGTTCAGCGGCGGAGATATTCACCTGACATTTATCTGACATATTGACAAACAAATACTTAACGTAATTAAATGTCAAAAAAAGAAAAAAGTTTGGAAGGTAAGATCAAAACTGTGAAGCTGTGACTCCTCAACCACAGTGATAATGTCTCAGTTTGTCTTTATTTTCCTCTATTGTGTTTCTCTTCTCTATTTTAACATCATGACATTAATAAATCTAAATAGGCAATGTTTTGAGTGTCAGTTCTTGGTAATACTGACTGAGGTGTTTGTATGTAGTGATGGGGAAATAGGTGATGTAGTCTTGGTTGCTGAAACCTTTACCCAAATTATATAATAATTTAAATAATGACATTAATGATGATCGCTTTTGGTAATAATTACGTGTGGTTAATTTTTTATTATTACAGTTAGTAGTAGTAATGTTGTTATTATTATTTTTATTATTATTATTATTGTGGTTGTTGTTATTGATATTATAATTTTAGTTATTGCTATTTCTATTATTATTATTATTATTATTATTATTATTATTATTATTATTATTATTATTATTATTACGTCAACACTTGAATTTGGACAAAGCCTACATGAGATTCACTCTAATAAGGTATCGGCCTACACAAAGTCTGGGGAGGCCTGAGGGAGCGGAACACGACAATCAATACCCGAGCCTAAAACATCTTGGTGGCTGGGGTTAATACCGGCTGGGGATCATTAGGGCCGGCTGGTATGTGTTCGTGAGGTATTATGGAGGCATTGGTTCTGGTTTGTGATGTGTTATGGGCGTTGGCATTCCTTTGTGATGTGTTAAGAGCGTTGGTGCTTGTTGAGGATATTGTAAGGAGTGTTATTGGTATTTGGTAATGTTTTATTAGGCGTTGATACATAATAGTGATACTTGAGAGACGTTGTTACTTGCTACTTGTTGGTTATTAAAAATTAGGACGTTAATACCTGTCCTTGATCCAGGAGTAATGATTCCAAACGGTACATAGTTAGTCTTTCAAATAGAACGAACACCTGTACCATATTTAACAGAACATAAGCGTAAATATTATATGAACAAATATAAATCCTGCCTGCAAACATTTAGTCTATCAGGGTAAAGATATAAAAGGAGTGAGCTCTTTCAAGACCAGACTTGACCAACACTGGAGCAGGTTTAGGTTTATTCAGGAGCCGGTACATGACCAGTACTTGCCAACAGTGCGTAACAGAGACGTAACCGATCGCCCAAGCGGCTAACGAGCCGATCAGTGGTGAAGGGGATAAAGGTAAAAGTATTGACGCAGGTTCTGTAGATTAGTATAGTTACTCCTAGAAATTATTATAGTGTCGTTTTCTTTAACACTCAAAAAACCTCATCGTTTTCTTTAACACCTGCCTTTGTTATTGTGCCAATCTATACCAACAATAGGTCAGTTTTCCGCGATTTGCACCTATGTGAATCTTGTCATTTGTTCATTAACCAACTAATTTTGGTTAGACGGTTAAGGACGCACAGATGAACAGACAGGACGGAAGACATTACCCAACTCAGCAGTGAAATAACTAATTAAATGACCAAATTGGTTGTTATCAGGTAAAACGCTTCTCTGCGGTCGTTGGGTAGTTAAGCCTTGGTTCCTTGCTTGCAGGCAGTGGAGGGTGTCTGGTGGTAGAAAAGGTTAGTACCGTGATATCCTTGTGTGAGAACGAATGCTCCTCCTCCAGTGAGTGGTTATAGACGGTAGAAACTGACGCAGGATTTTGAGAGAAACATATTCTCCACAGGTGATGTGTTGTAATATTTTTGTGAGTGGTTTTCTAGGAAATTAATACGATTTAGTGGACAAAACTTGGAAAACTGAGCCGGTGAAACACGTAAACAAGAGAACAACAACACTGTAACTCGAACAAGTATAAACATGAACTATATATAGTATCGAAGTTCGTGATTACTGGATAAATGAACCTGTGGTGATGTGGTGAGTTTAGAAACACCTTTGAAAATAATTTACGGCAAAGCAGCTATCATACTTGGGTTATGTCTGCATGGTGAAGCCTATAGCTATCCCAGGTAAGGGGATTAATATTTGTTAAATATCTAGGTATATACAAAACAATAGGAAGGTCGTGTCTGAGTGTGTGTGGAACCTATTTAGCGACAATACACAATACGAACCGAACCATTTGCTTGATGTTGCGTGAAATTTGATTGAGTTTACAGTCTAGTTTAACGATACTTAAAAAGCGTCTGCCATTTTGATTTCAAACTTATGTGGTCATCAAAAATATTCAACACCTTAACGTTATCCATAACTTTCTAAGGTGAACATTTCTTTAACTATTGAATTGAACTTAAGTCATAACTCATGAAAATTTCTAAACTTAAGACAAAAACACTTATTTGTCCTTTTAAAATTATCTTGTAAATTATAGTCGCAAGAATATAAACATAAACAGATCATATCTATAATTTTGAGTCAATTTATCTTAAAATAACCTCGAAAAATTTTGGAACTTACGATCATAGACGAGTTATAGCTCCGAGCCCTCGACATCATTATTATAGGAATTATCGATAAGTAATACGATGAATAACAAACTTTCGCTTTCCAGGGATCAGACTTTAAAATTTACTAAGGGAGAGATTTAACTTCCCCTCGTTTAAATTCTTCCCTTGTAGTTTACAGTAATTTCATAATTAATATAAAAATTCCTTCTTTGTTATTTAAAATCTCTCTACCTGCTGGTGTTATGCTTTCTCCAGTAATCAATATTGTTATGAGCGAACTAGTAACAAAGGGTAGGGTTAGTGTGTGACTTGTGGCTGAGTAGTCTGTGGAGGGGTGAGGGGGGCCAGCGTTGACTAGTGAGAGGGGAGCAGCGTTGACTAGTGAGAGGGGCCAGCGTTGACTAGTGAGAGGGGCCAGCGTTGACTAGTGAGAGGGGAGCAGCGTTGACTAGTGAGAGGGGCCAGCGTTGACTAGTGAGCTAGTGAGAGGGGCCAGCGTTGACTAGTGAGAGGGGCTAGTGAGAGGGGAGCAGCGTTGACTAGTGAGAGGGGCCAGCGTTGACTAGTGAGAGGGGCCAGCGTTGACTAGTGAGAGGGAGCAGCGTTGACTGGTAGCGTTGTGAGAGGGAGCCAGCAGCGACTTGACTAGTGAGCAGACTAGTTGACTAGTGACTAGTAGCGTTGACTAGTGAGAGGAGAGCAGCGTTGACTACTGAGAGGATCCAGCGTTGACTAATGGTTGACTTTTTCCGGATTGAGTTTAACAAAATAGTTTGGAGTACATGTATATATTCATCTACCTGGAGTAAATCAATAGACAACGGGGTATAATTACGGTCTCTCTATTATCTCCTACCTGTGTCTTTGGACTATAGGATTGTACTTTGTGTGTTTGTCTGTCTGTCTGTCTTTTTGTTCTCCGTTCTGATAATTGAAGAGAAACCACAAACTATTCTTTAATCAACAACTTTAACGTGGGTCTTTTTTTTTTTACGAATTTAGAGGGTAATAAAAATGTAATGCGTGGTAATTATTTTGTTTTTCTATCAGATCAAAAATAGCCGACTGAGACACATTAATAGTGTTGTAAATAAAAAAACACTCAGTACAACATATTCATTCCTAGGATAATTTTTGGATCACGTGAAGATTAAAGTCACTCCAGTTTATTTCACTTGATGATTAAACACCCTTAGGTAGGATTGGTTTGGTTATTATAATCTTAAGTGTTAGCGCTACGAGGGACTAAAAACTGTAGGTGTTGCATGCTCCAGCCCGTGTGACGGCGTTGGTGAGCCAGGGGGTGGAGGCGTTGTGTACGATCATGGTGCAGCTGACGAACTCACTCACTGTATTTATATCCTCGAGCTGCCAGATATGTGACAGTTGAATCTGTTTTTGACCCAGATACTTGTGGCTTGTATATCTGTCGTTATAGTTGGCTATAAGGACCTTCAACCTGAGACGTCGAGGGTCGCCTTTGTTCTGGTCAATGACAACCTCACTTGTAGATCCATCGTCAAGCTTTAGTACTTTTCGAATGCTTGGGAACTCACCTTCAACCTTCCTTTCTTCCATCTCATCATCACTAGTATCAAGTACCACCGGATCAGATCTACTGGTTTCTGAATTCAAGAGCGTTAAATCATCATCTGATTTACTTCTGTTCTCAATCTCCTCCTGGTAAACCATTGCAGGCTCTTCCTCTTGGTAAACCATTTCAGGCTCTTCCTCTTGGTAATCCATTTCAGACTCTTCCTCTTGGTCTATCAGGCTTAGAATGTCAGGGAAACTAACATGGGAACTCAATAGATTAAATACATAAACTACATTAAAATTTTCAAAGATGTCGAAGTATTGATACAGTGGGTTGAGGAAATCTAATGAGACAGTGTTGGCGGCACTAGGCGGACGCTCAGCATGGCATTTATAAGGGCGTGAAGTCTCCTTGGTCCTTGACACCTGGTCTTTGTCATATTTGCTGTCTACATTTATCGGGTAGTGCTGATGGACGTAGGCAGAGAGGAACATCATCCCCACTATTACGAGTACTGCGCACAGTGATATCAGCAACACCGACATTAGCGTCCTGAGCCACAACCCCGTCCTCAGTAGTCGCCTCTGTATCAGAAAGAGAGGAAACACAGGTCAGGTTCACTGCTATGAGGAATGACAATCGTCCATACACAGATAAAAATAAACAAGAATTCTCTACGTCTTTCAGGCAGGGGTTGATGACTGACAACACACACACACACACCTGCTCAAGGGTCAGATGCCTCCGTATGACTCTTCGTCGCACACCAACAGGAGATAACATCATCCTCGTGGTATTATCTGCCATGTTCTTCAGCTCTGAATTACATATACGGCGGCCCATGTTGACTCTGTAAGGAATATAACAAGATAGTTTTAGTTAGTGCCAGAGTGTATTAAGACAGTGCCAGGGTGTAATAAGACAGTGGCAGAGTGCCAGGGTGTATTATGAGTGCCAGGGCGTATTAAGACAGTACCAGGGTGTATTAAGACAGTGCCAGAGTGTATTATGAGTGCCAGGGTGTATTATGAGTGCCAGGGCGTATTATGAGTGCCAGGGCGTATTAAGACAGTACCAGGGTGTATTAAGACAGTGCCAGAGTGTATTATGAGTGCCAGGGTGTATTAAGATAGTGCCAGAGTGTATTAAGATAATGCTAGAGTGTATTATGAGTTTCAGGGTGTATTATGAGTGCCAGGGTGTATTAAGGCAGTGCCAGCGTTTAAAATAGTGCCTTTGTCCGCTTACGGGTAATATTACAGTACATAACAGTTGCTGGTAATCTCTGGTAGCCTTCCGGTGTCGCCACAGGATGAGACTAAGAAAAGCAGTAGAGGAACATTGCGATAACAGCTTAATGAGTGAGGACAGGAAGGATAGATTTTGGTGTTGACTGACGAGTACTGATAGGCGGAGAGACAGAAGACAGACAGATAGACAGACACAGATACAGACAGACACATAGATTAACAGACACGCACAGACAGATAGGGACATACCGACAGACAAACAGACAGACAGGAACTCGTAATAACCCACTTAATACGAACTCGAAACTATCCTTCGCCCAAGATGTCTAAACCAACAGAATAAGTTCAATCCATTAATAAATAAGAAACATAAGGCAGACTTTACGGCAGCATACAGCATGATGGGAAAAGCATTTACCCTGAGTGTTTTACATTTACACGGGCAGCTTATAATGTCATTGCTGTGTTTGTGTGATTGCAATGTCAGCTTTAAATTACGGATGCAAATGGTGACAGGGGTTTGATATCGGCCATACACCTCCACAGAAACACTTCATCAGTATATATGAAGGTATATATATTTTTTTTATTGTTAATATGTACATAATGACAGATCTAGATAATCTTTATATTACACGATGTGTCACTAAATCTGAAATAATAAAAAAAAAAAGTTCAAAGCGACCACAAACTGCGTCAGCATAATCTGAAGGCCGGTAAACACTGATCGCTTTAGTTACTATATACACTGTGACTTACGTGTTTCATTGGTCATTTCTTCCTACTCACTATACTGCTTTGTGGAATAATGGGCCACTTGTTGTCCCCACACTGTTACATAGGGATACTCACTATATCACTTGTCGCCCCCACACTAGGCGCCGCACGTTATCGCTCTCATTATACTGAAAATGCCGTAGTGTGCGCAGTGGGAGGAAAGCGTGAAGTGATTAGTGCTTCCCTTAACGCGTGACGTTCCTTCCTGCTTCGAATGTGGCCTTTTGACTTTAACTGACGTGTTTTATCTGTGTGAATCCAAGGGTGGTTCTGTTAATTCTGTGTACCATTATTTAGCGTGTAATATTTCCTTCCGATTGTTTCGCAACTTGTTTTAGATTATTCTTGTAAGTGTATATATTTTATGGTTGGTGGAAACATTTATTATTAGGAGTGAGCTGTGATTTCTTGCCTCCTTCAATCTATTTGCCTAGAATGGGAAAAAGATGTCGTATTAGGTAATAACTATAATAAAATAGTTACCCGCTTAAATTACGTTTTCTTCTATGACATCATCGAAGAGTATGAATGAAATGGGTGGCTCAAAGTGTTTGGAACATTAATTTTAAGTTCGTGTATATCTGTATATACCGGTTTAATTAATTTAATTTAAAGTAATCTTGTATTTAATGGGAGTAAATTCACTGTTTACAGTCGGTGTGTTTGGGAACTTTACCAGATACTGCTGCATCATATTTATCGTTCATGAAATAACCAGACTAACTCCCCTAACCTAACTTAACCCACCAAACTTCAGACCTGTTGGTCTGCTGTGAATCTACCAAAATATTCTGTCGACAGCACAGTGGGGTAACGCACCACTTATCTTGTTTTCCTTCTTCCTTTTCTTTATCCTCTTCGCCACTGATCGGCCTGTTGGTCGCTTGGGCGGTCGGTCACAGCTCACGCACTGTTGGCAAGTACTGGCCATATAAACCTGGGCCAGTGTTGGTCAAGTCTGGTCTTGAATGAGCTCACACTCGGTACCGTCACAACGCTCTCTGGCAGATTGTCCCAAGAGTTCACAATTCTCACTCCGAAAATTTTTTATCCTAACAATTTTCTGAACTTGTGGCCTCTTCAACATGAGGCAGTGACCTCTAGTGGGGCGGACATCCACTAGTTCCAGGTATGAACCCTCGACTAAGTCCTCTGGAGTGCTTGTAAATGACGGGAAAATGAATACGGGGATAGATTTGCAGAAATTTATTCAATTAATGAAAATATCACTAAAAAGCTAAAGCATTTTACAATACAAATTACACATCCATTACAATGTGATTATTATTAAAACTAAGTTGCCAATAATATCAGTATAGTAAAAATTCCCAGAAAAAAAGTCAACCTCATTTATAAAACATACCCACTATTTTTTTTTCATGTATTCCGTCCTGAGTCAAGAAACATACTTACGATTCAGTTAATTCGACATACTGTACAGGTGATAGATGTTAAATATCAAAGCAAAATGGTAAATTTATAGGCATTTAAACACAGCCATACAGTATGAAGCTGATTTATAAAGATATTATTATTATTATTATTATTATTATTATTATTATTATTATTATTATTATTATTATTATTATTATTATTATTATTATTATTATTATTATGATGTTAGGTTAGGTTTGGCCGAGATTTCGAGTCCCGTAGTTTGTATATCCTGGTTTTGCTGTAAGAAACTACTCCGATGACCCAAATGAGGAAGAGACTAGAGAAGAAACCTCATTCTAGTTAACGACCACCCGATGTACACAACCCTGGGTAGTTACTGGACTTTCCGGAGGTACACAGACTGCTGCTATATCCTTTCGTGTAAACCGGAGAGCCGCGGAAGTTGCCCGCTGGACCATAGTTACATACCATGACCTTAGATTCCGGATATGTAGTTCCACTCAAGTCAACCGTGTGAGAGATGATCCCACAACCCACCTCGAACGTTCTCCCCCAGACCACCTGTGGGTGTAGTTGATGTTTTGATCGTGTGCCTTGATAATATGGGCAACGTGAAGATTAGTCCCCTAGCTTATTTCATTGGATTATTAAATACCCTAACCTAACCTAGCCCAGCCTAACCTAACCTAGCCCAGCCTAACCATCCCTCCACAGGTACCGTTGAGGTGTCTAACCATCAGGTAAAATAAACTAGGGGGCTCATCTTCAGGTGGTTCTAAATATACATAGATCATAAAAAAAACAAAGCGACTCTGTTTTACCTGGGTATAATGGCCAATGGCTTTGCCTGAGGGTACACTGCTGGTAAATGACTCGACCACAGTGTTGGGCATATCAGCAACCTCGTCGTACCACGCTTGTATTGCCTTCTCCCAGTCCTGCAGAGAGACCAAGAGTGTCATTCCTTACCACTAATTCCTCCCCGCCTTCTCATCCATCTGATTTATAACACCCAAGTGTATGCAAGATGATCGAAAAGTCTCTGTGCACCTAGAATAATCAACAATGTATTTATAACAAAGAACAGCTTTATTAATAATTATTGAAGGTGCACAGGAACTTTTCAATCACCATGTACAGTATGTATATTGTAAGATCCACACATTCTTCTTTCGATTTTTTTTTATTTTGTGATGGACTTCAGTAACCAATATGGATGAAATGTTCCTTCCATTCATTTTAAACTGATTATGCAAGCTGGAGTCTGTTTTATACATTTGTGGGTAGTGGTGTATAGTGTGTGTTGTGGTGTATAGTGTTTGCTGTAGTGTATAATGTGTGTTGCAGTGTATAATGTGTGCCGTGGTTTGTAGTGTGTGTGTGTGTGTGTGTGTGTTGTAGTGTATAATGTATGCTGTAATGTTTAATGTGTGCCGTGGTGTATAGTGTACCGTGGTGTATAGCATGTGGTGTATAGTGTATGCTATGGTGTGTCAAGTTTTCAAATGAACTGTGCCCTCCCTCACTGAAGAGCACTTACAATGGCAGAGTTAAAAGAATATTCCCAATATAAGTTCTGACCAACTTGATAGTCCGCGGAGCAGATCCTCCTCTCGGCATAGTTATCGTGACCACTGGGACACTGCTCAGCCCATTTCTGTAATCAGTAGATAATGAAGAATCAGTAAGGTAATATGTAGTTCATTTTGTATTCCTAATGTTAACGTAACCTGATCCAACTGACTTACCTGGTCCACCTCACCCACCTCACTTACCTGGGCTACCTGGGCTAGTTCGTCATTCCACACCATCTCTTTCATATCGGCGGCAGAAGGCTGGGGCCCTGGGTCACCCGTGATCTCCCCACCTGTCGCTACCTGGTAATAAACACACATTAGAACCATCGACGCACCGTAAACACACCTCCTGTACACAAACAAACTCTTAAGAACAGTATCGTGTCAACAATGAACCTCTAAACTCACAAGAAACAGAAGAATATCAACAGTGGTGTAACGGGTGACTTGTGGGGAGTCAAAATACATCACGTGTAAATAAAACCAACCTCAATAGACCGAAACTTCAATGCCAATATAACTTCGGTACTTATTGTCATTCTCTTGGGTGTATAGCAGGTAAGACCGAGACTCACTCTTTAACAACCCTTGAAGATAATGTCAAGGGGGACCGAATTTATGCTGAAGTAAAGGTCTATCTCTTACTGTGGCTTTTATATATATATGAATTTAATCATCTCGGGTCTTTTTCATATTGATATTAATAGAAGAATTTGTTTTAAATGGCAGAAGTAATACATTCTAATAGTCTAGATTCTCTTTTCCCGATCGCTACTTAATACTGAGTAACCGGTAGTGAAAGCGCGCGTTCATACACACACATTCTCCCTTCGTTCATTACCATTCACACATTCTTACCTACTAAAAGACTCTTAAAATATCAGAATATCTATAAAGTTTAGCTTCGTGTACTTTCATAATAAGGACCACTAAACCTACTTGCTCTCTTAACGTGTTGTGCTTCCGTAAGATCTGGTCTTTCTGCTCCTCCGTCACCCCACTGTAGTGATAGTTACAGGCAGCGTTGGCAGGCAAGAGCATAGTGTGCGTAGGGCTGAGGACGGTGTAGTCACAAGAGGTGCCACCCGGAGTTTGTGTGGTGAGCGGCGTTTGTGCGGTGGGCGGAGTTTGTGTGGTGGGCGGAGTTTGTGTGGTGGGCGGCGTTTGTGTGGTGGGCGTAGTTTGTGTGGGCGGTTTGTGTGGTGGGCGGCGTTTGTGTGGTGGGCAGTGGTGAGCAGCGTTTGTGTGGTGAGCGGCGTTTGTGTGGTGGGCGGAGTTTGTGTGGTGGGCGGCGTTTGTGTGGTGGGCGTAGTTTGTGTGGTGGGTGGTGCTGTTGTTGTTGACGTCACTCCTGCAGGTGAAGAAAGTGGTTCTGTGATTTCTGTAACTAAAAATTAAAAAAATCCCCATAGTTAAATTTTAAGTTAGGTTGTGGGTGTGGCCCAAAAAAAAATCTTGATGGTATAAATTATCATATAGACGCATTACATCATGGTATAAACAGTCCATCATGGTAGACTCAAACTTCATAGTAAACAAACATCATGGTAGACAGGATACACCAAGGAAGATAGACAAGACATTACCATAAGCACACACAATTCCACTGTAGATACACAGTAGATGATAGTAAACACAGTATATACCACGATAGCCATATTACACCATGATAAATATACCACGCAACAAGAAAGACATCACACACACTACAATACTGGAGGAGACGTCGCACTCACTGTATGAACACGTCTTATTGTATTCGGGTTTCAGAAACACTCTTCTATAACTCTTGCTACAGACCAGAGTGAGACATCTACTCGTCAGCACCGCAACCACTTCACCAAACCTCGCCTTCCAGTTGTTGAATCTGCACATACGCCGATGTCCTCTGCGTCTGACTTCGGGTGAGGAGGAGGAGGCTCTCTTAACGCCGCTGGGGTTCATGGAAGCGCATTTCGAGGGAGTCATGGCCACTAAAGCCGCCTTCACTGAATCGCCGTCAGTTAGGCACACTAGCTCAGCACACGCTTCTGCTATCATCATGATCACCTGTGAGGGAAGATTTCTTGGAGTGAGTCATGTTGAGATTAGAAGAGAGGCAGAGAATCCAATACCTGGATTAGAACAACATTTACCTGGTCCTAAGTTCTCTTGTCCAGGTCTAGAACCGGTACTGTATCCTTCTGATCTACTCAACCCACCAAACTTAACTTACCTCACCAGCTCTGTAGGAACGCTTCAACACTCTACACTTCTTGCGGGAACGATTTTGTGAACCTCTTTGTGAGACGCCTAAGGGGAACCTCTCTTCTTTGTCTAAATCTTTCCTTACATGGTTGATTGCAACGTTTGTGTCCTTCAGATCAACTTTCACAACGTTTTCCTTCGCCGTAAGATCTTCCACGGCCTTCGTCTCCGTCGCTGTAAGTCCTGCGGGATAAATATAGTGACATCAGCGCGGGTTGGTCAGTTCTGGCTGCTGTCTTCTCATCGTTTCATCGTCTCGCTAAGCTTCAAGTGATCGTACTGGGCAATAAGTCCCTTTACCTGCAGTGTTAACGATGATATGATTAAAACTCAAGAATGGAGGAACTGCAGCAGGTCTATTGGTCCATACTAGGCAGCCCCGTTTACACCCTACCCCTATCGCTCATATATCCGTCCAACCTATATTTGAAGCTACCCAGCGTGTTCCAGTTAACGATGAAGTTCGGTAACTTGTTCCACTCGTCCAATACTTTATTTCCAAATCAGTGTTTACCTATCTCGCGCCTCAATCTAAATTTGTCATATTTAAAACCATTGCTACGAGTTCGCTCCTGGTTGGATAGTTTGAGTACCTTTGTTATATCACCTTTGTTTAACCCTGACTTCGATCATATCGCCCCTCACTTTACGTCTCTCGAGGGGGTGCAGATTACGATGCTTTAGTCTCTCTCTGTACTCAAGGTTCCTAATGGCTTGGATTAGTCTTGGTATATCCTTAACTCTACCTGGTGGGGTGGGTTTGGGTTAGGCGTGTTTAATCATCAAATGAAATAAGTTAGTGTGTCTACTCTTCACGTGATACAAACTCAATTATATTACAAAATTATTCTCTCTAGAGATAGCAACAATAATCGTACACTTGGCAGCGGACCCCACCCCACCCCTCCCTTGTGTTGGTACACTTAACAAGACTCTCAATGATTCAGGATTAGAATTCATGAAGCTGGTTGTTGTAACTAAAAACTTTTAATGTATACGGTGTGTGAGCTGTGTGTGTTATTAATCCTATCATCTAAAGTTACTCTTAAAGTTCTAAACACGCCTGGTCCCCGTAAACTGAGTTAAGAGTTAAATAATTTTTTCTCCGTCTTGTATAGTTGCTTCCAACATGGTCTAGCGAGACTCAACTGACAGAAACAAGTGAACTGAACTGGATCCTGTTTTGTTATTATTTTTTTTTTACAAGGCGACGAGTTTCCATATATGAAGATGATGTTCTGTACAATAACAACTCGATAGCTTCAGATGATTTTTTTGGTTACATGTTTATCATTTCCATTACTTGTGACTTTACTAGTCGTTCGAGCGGTTTGTTTATCCTTACGACCTGTGATGTTTGGAAGGGTCTCACTACAGGATAACGCCCATCTCACACCCAACACCGGGATATAAGCCGTCGACCGCATTAATTTCGACATAGAGGAGAGAGTATTTTAGATATGGAGACGTCAGTGAATTTCTTAGACATGTTGAAATCAACGGTTTGGACAGGGAGAAGTCGATAGTTTGCAGTGCATTACGAGGAGTCAAAAAATCATACGAGGATGAAGTTTGAGGCAAGGAAAGTATACATACTTTCCTTGGTTTGGGGTGTTGGTCTTACCGGAGGCGACGAGGACAAGCTGGAGGAGAAGGAGGAGGTGGTGATGATGGTGCAAGAGTGGACGAGCCATGAGGAGGAACGGCATTGACGAAGGGGAAGAGTGTGGCCGGAGCACTAGACCAGCCAGCCTTATAACATCCACCACCGTCATTCCCACACCTGTGCCTCCTGACCTTACAAACACCTCGGATGATTCAAGTATAACTACCGGGTAATTTATCTCTAGCATGAAAAGAAAAATTATTGAGAATCTAAAAAAAAAAAAGATATTTACCAAACGCTGATAAATAAGTACCTTAATTCTACCTGGGGGTTAAGTTAGGTTAACATTAGGTTAGATTAGGTTAGTGTTAGTTAGCTTGGGGTTGTTTAATCAGCAGGTGAGGTAATCTAGGGTGTCCAATATCTATCTCTTTTTCTTCTCCGTCTCTTTCACCGTCTATTTCCAAGCCAACCCAAACAGAATATCATTAAACAACTAAATTATAACAAACAGGAAGAGTATAGAAGAGAACCTGAATTAATTACTATGTACAAGTCACGGAACTGTAGAATTAGCCATCATGCACGGTACTTTACTCCTTTGATATCTAATTGCTTGTACTGTACAGGTGAGGCGTGAATAGGTAACTATTACAGTGAAAATAACTTCCCGGGTCCAAGAGTTCACCCACACATCACTTTACTGCTGGAATATGAGTCGTTTTTAACCCAGGTGGTGAACTCTTGCTTTTTCCTGATTTACCTGTCTCGGAACCTAACCTAACCTAACCTATGCTAAATTAACTTTATTTAACTGATCTTTGACCTGGCCTGACCTGACCTAACCTAACCTATGCTAATTCAACTTTATTGAACTGGTCTTTAACGTGATTTGACGTAACCTAATTTAACCTGAGACGAATGTACCTTTATTTAACTGACCTTTCACCTCATCTAACATGACCTGACCTAACCTAACAACTTAACCTAACCTAACTTATCCCTAACATGACTCAACTAACCTAATAAAGAATTAAGTTAAAGGCTGAGTGGGTGAGCCTGATTGATAACAAAGATTGAACCATAAAAAAAAACAAGCTAACGACGAAACATCAATTAGGACATAATGGTAGGTCATCCATCACTCACACACAATTCCTGTCAGACTCCTAAAAGTTACAACGATGAATATTCCTCGTAAGTGAAGATTTAAAAACGCACTTAACTGTTTCATAAAGGATACAGCGCCAAAAGAAAAAAAATATATAATCCAAAAATAGTATCAAAATTGCATTACGACTTAACTAGAGACGCTCACTTAATATCAGACAGAATTTGCGGTACAGAATCCTCACCTAACATAACCTTAAAGTGTGTCCTAATTTTGATGCTTTTTTTTTACGTTAGTTATGAATTTTTTAATTTAAGTCAGCCAATTGCATCAGTACCTCTTCAGCTCTCCAAAATAGTCATCTTAAGTCACTTTGAGCATAGGGACTGAGGGACGTGTACCTGAAATTGCTCGGGTTGTTTTGTTGTTGTGTGTACTGTCTCTCGAGGGCACTAACACTGTATGGAGGTGAGGCGGCCAGGCAAGGCTTACAGCATAAGTTCAAGGGTGAGAGTCAAGGGGTGGGTGTGTGTGTGTGTGTATGTATAGTTCCACGTGCGCATTTATTAGTATTCAAGCACCTATGAATCAGATTCCTGAGTGTGTATTTGAGTTTCTGAGCGTGAAAGTGTGCTTGTGTACGGATCAATGTTTGTGTGTGTGATTCATCCGTTGTAAGTGTTTCATCACACACACACACACACACACACACACACTACACCCACCGCATACACCCAGCCTACGCCCTACATCCTCCCACACTACACTCACTACACCCTCCCACACTACACCCTCCTCACACAGCACACTACACTCACTACACCCCCCACACTACACCCTCCCTACACAACACCCCCTCCCCCCCCACACTACACTCACCCCACCCTCCCACACTACACCCTCACTACACACACCCACCATCACCACTTGAGCTGAACGACCCCTCGCTAATTAACCCCGGTAATAAACCATGTCAGCACAATCTCCTCCCCAAGACCCCCTTCTGCACCACCAACATCCCTAAACCAGTGAAGTCGTGTGGATTTGGCGACGTTGTGTGGATTTGGCGACGTTGTGTGGATTTGGCGACGTTGTGTGGATTTGGCGACGTCGTATGGATTTGGCGACGTCGTGTGGATTTGGCGACTTCGTGTGGATTTAGCGACGTCGTGTGGATTTCGCGACGTCGTGTGGATTTCGCGACGTCGTGTGGAT